TTTTTTAGCAAATATATATTTATTAAGTAGTCTGCCCTTTGTCTGTCTATTAATGACAAAGTTATGAAGGAAAATTATAAAATACTTGTAGATTTAATTTAGAAAAATAGGCCTCACAAATTAAAAAGAGAAGTATTTTCTTTCTTAGATGGTTCAACAACTTTTACTGCATTCTGTCTGTGGTTGATGATTTTGGCAATGTTCTAACTTGGGAGAAATTTATGAATTGCCATGACTTCCCAGTTCCATCAAAGGAATAGAAGCTATCCCAGAAGGTTTGGTCCAACTAATTATAAATCACCTAACATTCAGTAAGGGTAACATTATATATCCTGCTTTGCGTTTGGGTGGTATTGACATTTTAGACAGTAAGTGCAACAACAGGCATATTTACAAAATTTTTAAATGAAAAGAAAGAACTCCAAGAGGTAAATTCTACTGGGGAAATAGATTGGAAATAGATTGGAAAAATACCTGGCTTTTGCTGAGCAAGTTTTGTATATGCAACAAAGTTAAGGAAGTTTATTATAAAATATATCCTGTTAACTCCAAAAATACTCTGATATTGATGAGACTTGCTCATTTTGTGGTTGTCACGAATCCAGTCTGTGGCCTTCTGTCTGCTTGCCACCAGAGGTTGCCCTCCTATTATATTGACTCTCACATTACACAGACTGTTGCATGTCACTCTGGACTACATTTCCCATGTTCCATTTCACTGATTACGTTTTCACCTGTAGCCAATTACACACACTATAAAAATCAGTCTCAAACCATTCACCATTCAAAGCCGAGTATTGTTAGCGCTTGTCGTTGTATAGCCGATAGCTACTTTATGGAGCCAGTTCCCTGTCCTAGTTTCTAGTTCCAAGTTCCTAGTTCTAATCAAGTCTAGTCTCGTCTTGTTTTTGTCTGATTGCCTGTTTCCTGATCACCTGCCTGTCTTGGATTTCTCTCTTGTCGTTTGGACTCTGCTTGCTCCTTGCCTGGACCATCGCCTGTGTTTCAGATTACCCCTTTGGATTACCTTGTTTGGACATTGTTCACAAGAGATTGACCACGCCTGTTTACTGGACTACTCCTTTGTCTTGCCCCAATATACCTGTCCGCCATTGTCTGACCCTTGCCTGTTTGTAACCACGTCTTTTAATAAAAGCTTTGCATATGGATCCGCACGCCTCTCGTCTCAAGTCGCTTCATAACAGTGGTCTTGTGGAAGAAACAGCTGCCCATTTATGTATTTATTTATTTATTGTTTGTTTGTTTGTAGAACAATCAATACATTTTGGGGTGATTTAAGTTAAGTTACATTTTTAGCCCTACAAATGTGATTCACAGTCTTGTCTTCAAAGATGCTATTTGTTATTATGAAACCGAAAACATGTATCTCTTAAATATTCCCTTTCGAACGTTCACTTCACATTGTGTACGGGTAAACTCGTTTAGTCTGTTACTGAAGCCTGATTTGTTCACGTTTGTGAAGCTGCACAAACCAATGGCGCTTTAGCCCGCCAGAAAGGTAGGCGCCAACGTGTATATAAGTCGACTCGCAGCGCCATTTCATCAGAATCTTCTCCTTCAGCGATGAGGATCATCTCTTCGCTGACTCTGCAAGAAGCTAACGAAAGACGACGGAAAGAAGTACAACCTGCTCGCCGTCATCGAAGAGCCCCCGGCAGAGGACGAGTCTCCCCTGCGGCCATCTGGCGCTTTCTAAAAGAGCAAATTAGAGCAAATTTCCAGCGCGCGTTGTTGCAAATGTCGCACCGCGAGTGCGACTCGTGCAAGGAGCCCTTGCACAAATCAGATGGGCAGAGCGAGTGTATCACCAGCCTGGTATGTCCAGTCTTCGCTCGTGTATTGCCTTCTTCACTGAAGGCAGTACTTCCGGCTCTGCTCTCCCATTTCCTTTCTCTCTTAAGAGAAAGAAACAGCGGCTCTCTCTCAATAGGTGTGAGCGGTGTCACGTCGGCCCAGCACCCGCTTGCCCCCCACTCCCCGCTACGCCTCGTCGCACCAGTGTTCTTCGCACAAGAGGATCAATGCCCCTCCTTTGCAGCGAGCGGCTTGGTTTCCTTTGGCGCCTCCGAGGAGGAGATTGCCGTCGACGACTCGATGTCCTTGACGGCATCAGACGCTGAAGAATGGTGCACTCCCTTCTTCCCAACCATCGCAGCCGAAACCGGACACTGAGCTGATCTGTGTTCTCTCCATGGCAGTGGAGGATCTGGGTCTCGAGTAGTCGGCTCCAGATAAGCCCGCCCATGGCCTAGACGAGTGGTTCCTGCCGGGTCGCCGTCAACTGCCTCCCCACCAGCGGCCCGCCCCATTCTTGCCTGCAGTTCACAAAGAACTGACCAAGACTCACTTGCAATTAGATCCACTTGCATCCCGGTTCAAGGCCTGGGCAGCCATACCGGGCGTGTCAAGCTGGGTCAAAAAACAATTAAAAAAACAATTCAACGAGGCTACTTGCTCGCAGGCCACGTTGTTTCAGAGGTATTATTCCACACACCAGTCCGACATCATTGTCATGTGAACAGTTGTATTTTTGTGGCAGTGATGTTGGACAGAGGTGAATCTGAGACTCATTTCCTCTGCACTGAATCTCTTGTGTCCACATCTGAGCGTCTCCTTTGTCAAAAGCAGCTGCTCCCAGCACCTGTACAGGAGCCCCACAGTCCAGCTCTCTACACACAACCTCTGCATCCTGCTGGTCAAAGGCAGCGTCACACACTGACATCCACGTCTGATCATGAAGTATCTCTAACCTCCCAGAGCAACTGGAGTTTCCAATAAGTCTGGCACCTGAAGTAGCAAGAGATAAGAAATTCGCCTGTCCTGCATGTGTTTTGATTGTGGGGAAATTTATCCTCATGTTAAACCAAATCCTAATGAATTACTTTCTTTTCATAGAAGACAAAAAAGAGAATATTTAAAGAAAATCCTGGCCAGTCTTTTCAGTATAATGCAAGTGAATTAGGACTGGGCCTGTCAAAGCACCAAAATGACAACAAAAAAAATTTAAAAATTACAATAAATTAATTTTTAATGTAATTTTATAACAGAATGCTCAAGCCTCATATACTCATTATGGTTTCTTATTTTGGATCTTAAGAAAAATAAAAACACACAAAAGTGCTCCACAGAAGAAAGTAATTCTGGTTTGGTCTGGCATGAGGGTGAGTAAATAAAGTATTCTCATTTTTGTTCAACTACCCTTTCAAGCAGGTGGATCATGAATAATATAAAACGGAGTGCGCTTTGGAGCAAATTACCTGAACAGATGACTCCTGCATCTTTAGTATGATCACAGATATATGAACCCCATTGTACCGATCCACAATTCTTCAGTGTAGACTCTGATCCAGTACATAACTTGCGATTTGGCCAGATTGCTCCTGATCCTGATCCAAAATGAGCATCAACCACAACATCTACAGGTTCTCCACAGTCCAGCTCTCTACACACCACTGCAGCATCAGCCATATCAAAACACACACCACACACTGTTCCCCACTGACCTCTATGAAGAACCTCCACTCGACCAGCACAGCGACTGTTGCCACCAACCAACCTCACTCTCATATTGTCTATATAATAAATAGAGAGAGATAAGAAAAAAGATACAGACAGAAGGAAAGAACAAAGTAACACACTAAGATAAAAACTATGAAAGTATTTAATCTAAATTCAAGGGACATTCAATTCAACTGATTTGTTTATTAAAAGAAAACACTCAAACCTGCACAGACTAGTCCAACACTGTATTCATGTGAACAGCTGTGTTTGTGTGAGGAGTTAGTTGGACAGAGGTGAATCTGAGACTCATTTCCTCTGCACCGAATCACTTGTGTCCACATCTGAGTGTCTCCTTTGCCAAAAGCAGCTGCTCCCAGCACCTGTACAGGAGCCCCACAGTCCAGCTCTCTACACACAACCTCTGCATCCTGCTGGTCAAAGGCAGCGTCACACACTGACATCCACGACTGATCATGAAGTATCTCTAACCTCCCAGAGCAGCGAGAACCTCCAACCAGCCTGACTTCTAAATAAGTAAACACATATCAACAAAATCATGCCTTATTTTAAAGGAACATAAGAGGAAATGTCTCCACCTCCAAGACCCTGTCATGAATAGAGCACCCTGAGGTTAATTTGGGGTCTTGCAGAATTGCTATGACTACTGCTTGTGTATGCCAGTGAGTTCCACAGGGCCATTGGGTTTTCCATAGGTTTCATTCAGGTTTTTTATGTCAATTATTTTACCAGACAAGAAGGTGAAAATAGTCATGGAATGAGTGCTTTTGGCACATCTGTTTTCTATAATAATACAACACTTTTAACTTACCTGAACATATGACTTGAGCACTCTTATCAAGACATTTGTCAGGCAATTGTATGGATCCACATTTCTTAAGTGTAGACTCAGTTCCAGTACAAATTGCAATTTTCATTAAGACTGGTCTTGATCCTGGTCCAAAGTAAGCATCCAGAGCATCTACAGGTTCTCCACAGTCCAGCTCTCTACACACACAGTACTCATCCAGATTGGTCCTGATGCTGGTCCAAAATGAGCATCACCCAGAGCATCTACAGGTTCTCCACAGTCCAGCTCTCTACACACCACTGCAGCATCAGCCAAATCCCAACCATCACCACACACTGTTCCCCACTGACCTCTATAAAGAACCTCCACTGTACCAGCACAGCGACTGGTACCATTTACCAATCTCACATTTATTATGCCTAGGAATGTAAGAAACACAGAAAGGAAATAGAAAAGGTAAGTGGAAATTTAAATGAGATAGAAATGAAAATAAAATTAAATAAAACTGCTTTGTTGCATTTTGAACTCCTACCAGTACACAGCAAACCAATGTTGAACTCATGAGAACAGTTGTTTTCATGTAATGGTGATGTTGGACAGAGGTGAATCTGAGACTCATTTCCTCTGCACTGAATCTCTTGTGTCCACATCTGAGCGTCTCCTTTGCCAAAAGCAGCTGCTCCCAGCACCTGTACAGGAGCCCCACAGTCCAGTTCTCTACACACAACCTCTGCATCCTGCTGGTCAAAGGCTGCGTCACACACAGACATCCACGTCTGATCATGAAGCATCTCTAACCTCCCAGAGCAGCGAGAACCACCAACCAACCTGACTTCTAAATAAAACAATACAAATGTACAAAATAAACAACAACAAACAAACAAATCTTCATTTACATATACTCAAGATAGTGATAACTGATAAATGTAAAAACATTAAAAAAAAATAAAAAATTATAAACCAGTATGTACGCGCAAGTTTAACACAGATATTACTTAGAGTATGTACAGTACTTTACCTGAGCAGATGACTCCAGCATCTTTATTATGATCACAGTTGTGTCTATCCCATCCTCCTGACTCACAGTTCTTTAGTGTGGATTCTGATCCCCAACACATGACAAAATTAATCCAGATTTGTCCTGATCCTGGTCCAAAATGAGCACTACGCAGAGCATCTACAGGTTCTCCACAGTCCAGCTCTTTACACACCACTGCAGCATCAACCAAATCCCAGTCATCATCACACACTGTTCCCCACTGACCTCTATGAAGAACCTCCACTCTACCAGCACAGAGACTGTGACCATCAACCAACCTCACATTCACACAATCTATATATTGAGCTGAAGCAATGACAAAAAGATGATGGGATTAGAATGAGGATGGGAGAGGAAGAGAAAAATTAATGCATATGGCTACAAAGTGGGGCAACTAGACAAATGGAACACCTAAGCTTTTAAATTTAATATTTCTTCCTTTTTTTCTCTGTATCATGCAGTGTATCTATAAGCTTTAATCTCTTTATCTATAAGCTTTTATCTCAATTAAGCACAAATCAAGATAGGAAAATAAATAATAAAATAAAATAGTGCATGCCTCTTTGGTATTCTGTAAATAACAAATAAACATGATTAAGCATTATTATTATTAATATTATTATTATCTGAGACACCACATTAATTGCTTAAAATTATAAGCTTGAGATAACATCTGAAAATAACTTCATCTGTTTCGTTACTTGTGTACTTACCAGCTGTGATATGTATTACAACTGAAGACAGTAAAATGAGTGTCAGGCATCTTACCATCATCCTCAGCATGATCAACTCAACACCCAGTGTACAAGCTTCTCCGCACTGATGATACAGAAATGCAGGCATCCTCTCAGCCCCCTTAATGAGAAAGAAAGAGGTCCAACACCCTCCAATCACACTCGCTATTACCTTATTAGACACAACAGAGGAAATCATCAAACAACTTCAGTGACAAATCAGAGGACGCTTTTCTGATTTTCTCCATATATACCAAAACTGTCAATGCTGATGAACTCCACCTCCCCATACATCAAGACGCCTGACTGAGGGGATGCACACACACACACACACACACACGTATGATACTTACAGGAGGCAGGAAACTCTCCAGTTTATTTACAGCATCAAAGCCCAACACCTGCAGAGACGAGATAAAAGCACTGATAACTAATTGCATATGTCCTAAAAATGTCTATTAGTGTATACATATGTTAGCACGACATTAACACATAATAAATTCAACTCAGTAATATTGTAAAATGGCTTTAAAAAATTACCTAATTTACCTAAATCCACAAGTGGTTTCAGATGGCCAACAAAAACCATAACTTTCATTCAGTGAAGAGAAGCAAGTTGTTCACTTTGTGACCAGCAGAGAGAGTCTGTGAGCTCCATTTCTGCTTGTACGATACATCTTTCTTTGGATCCGAGTTTTTGTCATCTTGTCCAAGTTCTGTACGTGAGACTAGGCTGTCTTTAAGCTACTCAGAAGAATACAATGTTTGCCACACTAACAAAACTGATTTTTCTTATAAAGTGACATCCAGAAAATGTTCCTCCTACCTGACGGACAGTGGATAACTCTCTGGCCCTGGCATATGGCAAACAAACAAACAAATTAAATTTTACCCTCTTTCAGTGACATTTACTACTAGCAAATTAGTCTGAACTCCACCCTGTAGAGTTTATATGCTGTGCTGACACCATCTACAGAAAAGCAGTAATGACATCATTGGATGTGCTCTTTTTCACCACCTGTTAATGCTAGATTAGCGCAAGCAAGGAGAATATCTTCAATTATCAATATAAGAAATAAAGTTTTAAAGGTAAATAAGGTGGTTTCAGCAGTTATCCAAGAAAGCATAAGTTTTATGTGTTTGATTTAGTTTTTAAACCACTCATGTTTGATTTTCAAGTGCAGAGTAAAATCCACCACAACATTAAGTTCTAAAATAATTTTATAATGAACGTATAATTGGCCGACGTTTGTAGTCAAAGTTAACGTAGGCTAATTATCAAATCCCCACTGTCCCCAATGTGAAGAGGACACTGTGACAAATTATGTGATGAATTATGTGATGCACGTTTGTCTTTATCCTGCCAGTTATGGACTGACTCAGCACCGGAGAGTCCACTCAAAAATGAAATTTGCCCCATAATTTACTGTATGAAAATATTTGCATACTGGAATGCTTGGGTAAGACAATGTAACATTACAACAGCCGTCTGTGCCGCCTTCATTTAGTTGTTTCATCACTTTTCATCACTTTTCGCTTTAATTCTCGGGCACTGACTTAAAAACTGAGCATCCAATCAAAGTTCTCACTCTCGCCAACGGCCTCGATGCCGATTCGCAAACTGCCGCCAACATAAGCACGACAGATGCTTGCCAACGGGTCGATGTTCCAACACTTTCTCAATCCCAACTTGTTACATATTGACGCTTGGTCAGGACATTTTTCGATGCACAGGGATATCCTTTTAGTGTCACTTTTCGACGTGCAGGGTCCTCCATTGTTCCCTCTCGAGCTTTCACGAGACATCACGGAGACATTTCTCCTTTATGGGAATTCCTTCCCTTCCAACCTTTCCTGAAGTCCTATTGGCTCACGCCAGTCCAAATGACAGGCCAATTGTTGCGAAGTATGCAAATCGCATACAAATACTGACGAGCTCGAGAGGCCGTATAAAATGCGGTGCACGTGACAATTACGTCAGAATCTTCTACTTCACCTGCTGAATTCATTATGGCAACAATCTGCAAGATCTGCATGGGACCAATAGAGCCGCCGGATCAACACGACCATTGCGTAGCCTGCCTGGACCACGCCGAGGCGGTGCTGGATGAGTCTGACTGCGGGCATTGCGCGGACCTGCCGGCCCGTGTGCTCCGGACCCGCTGCGATGTGGCTTGCAGCCTATTCGGGGTGAGGCCCACTGCCGCCAGCGTGCCGTTGGTGCCGCTTCGCCAACCCCAACGGTCGCCCCGTTCCCCAGTCTCCTTCCCCCACCCTCCTTCCAACATCGCGGAGTTTGTGTCCTTTAGCCAGGAGGAGGGGGATGACTCGATGTCCATCTCGGCCTCGGAGAGGGAGGATTGGGCAGGATCGGAGTTCGATCAGCCAGACAGCATGGGGCTGCCTGGCTCCTCCAGGAGGTGCTCATGAGGGTTCTGTCGTAGGCTGTCCAGGAGTTGGAGCTTACCTGGAGTCATCCAGAGGAGCCTGCCAGGAGTAAGCTCGACTCCTGGTATTTGAGATCCACCCGTAAAGCTGATTCGAGGGCGTTGGTTCCCATTCTTTCCCGACGTACACGAGCAGCTTGTGAAAGTGTGGTCTGCGCCCCAATCAGCGCACGTCCACTCTGCCACACAGGCCAACTTTTCCCACATGGATGGGGCGGAGGCCCACGGGTATGTGCACTCTCCCCCTGTCGAGGAGACTGTCGCTGCGCACCTGTGTCCTGCAGCAGCCAAGACCCTAGGCTCGGACATCAGTCTCCCCTCGAAGTCGTGCAGGACCACTGCCCACCTCGCTAATAAAGCGTATGCGTCTGATGGCGAGGCGGCTTCCACACTGCACGCCATGGTGGTGTTGCAGGTTTTCCAGGCGAAGCTCCTGCAGGCGGCGGAGGGTGGAGCCCTCACTGCGGATGCCATTAAGGATCTACGCACAGTAACCGGACTTCGCGCTGATGGCGACGAAGCGAGCAGCCCAGGTCGTGGGTAAGGCCATGGGTTTTATGGTCGTGTTCAGAGGCACCTCAAGGATGCGGACCGTAAAGCGCTGCTGAACGCTCCTGTGACTCCTTCACAGGTTATAGTCGAGCAGCACTCACCAGTGCATTCAACGACCAAGCTGCTAAAGCAGCTATGTCAGTTCTTGAGCGCATAGGAAGTTATTCCGGGAATCTCGCGCTGGCTACTCTGTGTGATAGAGCGTGGGTATACCCTTCAATTCAGACGCAGACCATCCCATTTCAAGGGCGTGGTGCAGTCTCTAACATTGCCTCGAAATG